TGAAGCTTTTCCTGCTATTTATGAGCTGAGGAAGGGTTTTGTAGCTTAATCTATGGGAATCAAGCTGCTATAAAGGTCACATAGGAGGTTGAGTGTGAATTGGGCAGAGGAAGCTGTTTTACTCCTCAGAAAAGAAACCGAGAACCCTATTAGTCAATTGCATAAAGCCAAGTTGGAAAGTGGGAGTTAGCTGTTTTTTACTGTGAAACAACAGTAAAGTGACACTGAGGAAAAATTCCATCTATTCAATGTGTGCTGGTTTCCCCCCCAAAACAATGCTTAATTTATTAAGTACCAGATAAAAATACAAGTCCGGAATACCGATAAACTGCTAAAACTGGGATGCTGATCTATAATCCTCAAAGTAAGTATAACATTATTAAAGAAATGGAGCCACCCTAAGTTTTTGGCTTTTTTCTAATTCTAGGAGGGCGTTTCCACAATCAGTCCAAGATCTCCCTGAAGAAACAATTACAAGATTGATCTCTTTGGACCCCATGTGAAAAGCTAGTATCAACTGCAACCTATCTCCCATAACCCAGCCCCATCGCCTGAGAGCACCACTATCTCTGGGGCCGCTCCTACTCTGCATTTTGGGCTACTGCAGACTCTGAGGCATCAAAAAAAATGTAGCCTTTTTTTTTGCACAACGCGCAAATGCTGTGCTAGCTCGTCCAAGCGTGGCAGCCCTACTGGAGAAGTAGCGGTGAACCAGAATTTTTCTGCAGCTGCCCAGAGGTCTCCGGACGGGACTCCAGAGCGGCTCCTACCTCTTGGTCTCTCCTCCGTGTACAAATCAATCACTAGGTCTCCCAGCGTGGTCTCCAGCAGCACAGCCATGGCGCCTTCTCCCGCTTCCTTCCCGGTCTTCCCTCCACCATTCGCTCCTCCACAATCCCACCATGCCTTGCGCTGTTCCGCTTCCTCGCTGGTTTGACAGCTGTAGGCAAGCGGCGCCTTTTTTGCTAGGCTCGGTTATCATAGACCTACGAATGTAGAATCGCCCTTCAAGGTTAATTCTGAACACCATTGCCGGCAGCCCGGGACCGGAAGTGAACGTGGGTCAGAGAAGACAGCAGGAAACATTTCAGAGTTGGGCTTCGGCGGCGACAGCGCTGCCCCCGTCCAGCTGTGTGAAGGCAGCCGGTCTTGAAACAATCCAGTAGTTTCTAAACAAATTATTCACGTCATGCTGTTGAGGTAAGAGGAGTGCCTTGCTCATAGTAAGTGCAAAGCGACTTCCAGGAGCAGGACATTTCTGTCTTCAGTTTGAACTGGGCTGCCCCGTCCTACGCTGCATATTTATAAAGGGCTGGAAATGTCTTGCTGCCGTAGCTCGTTCTCTTTCAGCAGGTGCTGAATAATGGGTTGGATGTATTATGTGACGGTATTTGCTGCATTTTTAGCCCTCCTTTATTCTGGGAGCTCAAGGCAGCGTGCATGAGGACCTCACTTCACTGTGAAAAGGCAAAACTCAGGAACGGAGTTCAGCTCCTGGTGAATCCCTGACAATCTTCCGGTTTTTTTGGCAGCCACCCAAAGGTGGGCTTGTCACTGTCTCCTTGGATGCTTTTTTCTGATTTCCTAGTCTAGCTCACAGCCTTGGGATTTCCTGGTGGTGTCCCATCCAGCATTCACCTTGTCCAGCTCTGTTTAGCTTTTCAGCATGAGCCAGGGTTGAGAAAAGTGCTGCCCCTTGAACTGGCCCTTCTTATTCTAGCTCCTCATTTCTGTTGCTCCTATTAGAAGATGAAGTTTTCCTGTTTACAATGGAACCATGTCTTATGCGAGCACAGACTTGAGCAAACCAGCACAGGTGGTACTAAGAGCTGAGGGAGAAAGGACATATTAATTTCTCCCAATTTTCCTGGCAGACTTGCTGTTCCCCAATCCCCACTATGCCAAAATTGTGGATTCCTTCATTATTTTACATAGGCAGCTCTCACTTTCATCTTGAAGGACAGGAAGAAAAAAAAGCGCCTGAGGATCATCTGGTCTCCAGTCAAGTCCGCTTTCTAATTCATTTACTTAGATACCGTAGTTGCTATAGGTGCAGAAGGCCCACATTTTGACCAAACAAGCATCTCAAGAGTGCTTCCTTTACTTGCTTGCTAAAGTGCTACCAACAGTTAGTTGTACTTTCAACAGGAAGGCAGGCAAACTTCCTCTGTCTGGAATCTTTCAGGATTTGCTTGCCCAGCAGCTCTGAAGAGAATTGACTTCAGACAAATCCTCTTTCTTTTCTCCAAAACAATTGGGGTTTTGTGGCAATTTATACAGAATTTTTTTGGGCTTTTTTTAGACTGCAGATGTTGACTTCTTGCATACAGATAGATAGACTTAAACTATTAGACAGAACATTATGTTTAGATCATACTATAATGTGAGAACATACAATTTAATGTGCAGAGTACCTCAAACAAACAGGAAAATAAAACATACAGGCAGAAATTATGTATGCCTTGTCAACCTTTATAAACCTCTTGATTTAGTGATTATGAAAACTGGTTTGGAATTAATTACTCAAGATACCTTTTCTTAACTGAATTTGCCTAAGAGTTCATGTTTAACAGAATAGCCTGCCTTTGAGTATGACTCTCCAAGGATAAAATAGATCTATATTACATCATTTGTAAAAGACATGAACACTTTTATTCAAAAACCTAGTAGTAAATGCTGATCTTTTTTACCCATTTTACCCATTCCTCAAGGTCAATTTTTTCTTCATGTCCTTTTGGTTATTTTTTTTACCAGCTATGTAAATTGGCAGGTCTCTAAAGATTTATTAATTTGCATAATTCTAGAGAGGTCTAAAGAAAAATATGGTTTAGATATTCATTTAGCAAGGTAGCACTTGGTATTTGATAGTATTTTCTTTCTATAAAACCCGCAAACAAAAAATCCAGTTGTTTGAGTGGCAATGGTACAGTGTCAATTCCTGCCACCAAGCACTAAGGCTTAGTGTGTTGTGCAAAGCCAGCCAATTATGGTTTATTCAGTAAGTCATGATTAAACTACAGCTTCCTCTGAAGTGTGTCATATATTAAAGTAGTCCAATTTCCTCTCTTTTGGAGAGTCTAGAAGCTTTCATACATTGAGTCAGACCAATCATCCATTTATTCAGTAGTGACTCAGCTACTTCAAGGATTTAGATTCTTTTTTTTCACAGCCCATAAGAGATTTCAGGTGCCTGGAATTGAATATGAGACTCTTGACATCAGCCCTAGGAAGTGTTCTACCAATCAGCAATTACTAAATTAAAGGCTAGTTGTGCATGTGGAGGGCAATTCATATTTCAAGAGGATGCAGTTCACCTCTCTCCCATCTCTCATTTGCTTTTTATCACCCCTTCCTCTTGAGCTGTAAAGTAGACAGAGGGTTTGTGTCCATCATGACAGATTTAGAGTTACCTTTGGGGAGAGAAATATACATGGGTGCTCTGCCAGTTTATTTGCAAATTGCTGCTGTGTACAGTGGACCAGTCCTCCCTTGCTAATGTCCCAGCCATTCTGAAGTGGCTGGACTGATATTTTAAAAAAACTAAACAAGACCACAAGTGTACTGTATGTAGTATAATTGGGGTTGGCCTCACCACGCAAAATGGGGAAGGCTAATCTTTTCCTGAGCTTCTATACAGTATTTTGAACCAAGCATACAAAACAAAACTGCATGTGCATATTTGTGAGAGAGGGAGGGAGGAGCAATGCAAAGACTGTTTTAAGATCACTTTGGTTTTGTCATGTGACCCAACATGCAGGAACAGTTCTGTCACTCAGGCCACCCAGCTTTGTGACCAAAATCTGGAATGGGAAATTGGTCATCTCTTAACCTTCCATCCAGGTTTGGATGACACATGGAATTGTAGCTTAACTACTAGACAAACAATATTAGCCATTTCTTAGATTGGCTGACATGCTAAGCCCAGCTGTAAGGCAGTGAACATTTTCTGGAGAGACAGTCAGTCTTGAAACATTTCAGGAGCTGTTTCTAAGCAGTTTGTCATGTGCTTTTGATGACACAGCCATGTCACTAACAAATAATAAGTTCCTGATAGGCTTTAAGTAGATAAAACAGAATAGTGAAGAATCATTACTGTGAATTGTATTAAAAAAGTTTTAACTCCACAAATTTCTCAAAAGAGCTTTAGATTTACCAAGTGAGTATGTACACTTTTTTAGGGATATAAAAGAATTACACGATTAATTATTTTCTGGGCAAAAAGTGTGTGTGGTGGGGACAGATCCTGTTTCCGTGGTGCCACCCCCCCAGCTTTGGAAAGTTTGCTTTGGAAAAATGACCTGTGGCCTTGTCCTTCTGATTGATGCCTCTTAGTAAATTAAAGGCTAGTTGTGTATGTTGCACAACTAAAAAGTTAATAATAATATGATTGAGATTATTTTTTTGTTGCTTTCATCATTTGCTGTTTTTAAACTCATGCTAATATACTTTTACTTATTACTAATTACTTATTACTTATTTTGTGGAGTTAAAACTTTTTTAATACAATTGACAGTAATGACTCTTCACTATTTTATCTACTCAAGGCCTGTCAGGAACTTTATTTTATTATTACTTTATGATAAACAAGATATTGAGTTTCAAGAAATTTTTATCACGCCAAGTGATTAAAGAAATAGGGGAAAAAAGGGGTGGGGGATCCCGTGAGGATTAATTGCAGTGGTCAAACAGTGCCCAAAGCCATATTCTTGGGAAAGTGGTAAACTTGTGTATAGTAGTACTATTTTGCAAACCACGGATTTGGCCTTAATATGAATTTCAATTATTTTTTTTACTCACCACCAACTGCTTTTGCTTTTTATTTAGCCCCTCTGATAACGTACTGAAGGGCAGGGGGCAACTCTGAGTGAGAGGTCGCTAGCGACAGCTACACCCCAGACGGGGCTGCTTCAGGAATTGCTGGAGAGCTGGCACTGGTTCTCAGCGTCGAACTAAATGTCCTATTATTATTATAGCGTCGAATTAAGGGTCTTATTGTGACGAGCCCCGCCGGTCTCTGTTTTAGGGCGAGAAAGCTCTTCTCTTTGGCCGGAGCGGGGCCGGGATGCGGAGCACGCTCCCCTCCCGCCCTTGCTTTCCTTGTCTTCAACTCTTAAGAGGCGTCACCTAAGGGAAACCACTGCTACGCAGCCTTTTCCGCGCCCCGACCCTGGAAGCGCCTCGTCCCCGCTCGGCATCTCGCCTCGTCCAGCATCCTTTCCGGCTATTTCCTCCTCCTCGGCCCGCCGGACTCCTCCCAGCTTTTGCTCCGCCCGTCGCCGCCTCTTGCTTTGTTGATGTTTCACTTAGTTTTAATGCCCAGTTCCCAAGATGGAGGCAGCGTTGGGGCCACGCGAGTTGCTCGGGCTGATCGCGGCGCTCCTTCTCCTGCTGCCCCCGAGCCTATCAGCTCCGGATCCGACAGCCGCCTTCTCCCGGGTGGTAAGCCAGGTAGGCAAGGGGAAGGTTCCTTGGAAGCCTCGGGTCCTGGCGGGGTTGGCACCGAGTCCGCGGAGGAAGCCCTGGGGGTCGGGGTGGGGAGAGATTGAGAGAGAGAGAGTGGTGTATATATGTATATACGTGTGTGTGTGTGTGTTTATTTATTTGGGGAAGGGAAGAGAGAAAAAAGATCAGGTCTCCCCTTCAAAGCCAGAAACAAGGAACGAAGTGGGGCAGCTGTGGGTGCGAGTTGGTACCCCTGCTTGTGTGAGCATCTGGCCATGATGGCTTAGAAAGGGGGATCTGCTACGTTTGGGATACGCAACGTTGCATGGCTGGTGGCTTGTCTGTGCCAAGTGCATTTGCAAAACTGAGTTGTGTAATATCTGCACACTGTTAAAGCATGTGTTGGGATAACATGCTGAGACTTTTACAGTTCGCATATGGAAATTCTTTCTTCCCCGACTGTTTGGAAGGAGTGATTTGTGCATTAATTATTGTACAAAATTGCATAAGGTGTGATTTAGGCCTTGTGTACCTATTTATATGTCTGTGTGTGTTTGTGTCTTGGATACAGTACCCAGCAGCTTGCCCTTTTAGATAGATAACTTGCTGCCATATTAGATTTTAATGTATACAGTAATACAATTTGAACTTGTGGGTTGAGTGTCTTATGTAATAAATCCATTCTTTATGGAAAGACCAATATGTTCTGTGGAAGTCTGTTTCAGTATTGATGTCTTTGTCAAACATGAATAAAATATTTCAGGCATTGTAGTGCTCTCGTTGATGATGTCTTGTTGCCTTGTCTGAAGCAGTCACTTGTTATATTTGTGTTAGTGTGCGGTTTCAACATCACAGTTGTGGTTTTAACATCATCATTTCCAAGTATTTGATGTGGTTGACTGTCATAGTAATAAGTTAATTGATTAAAGAGCCCACAAATTCTATCACCCACATATAAAACAATTAAATCTGATTAATTTTACTTCTGATTTACTGTGGGGTACTTTAATATGGAAGAATTCACTTTATGGAGAGCTGTCAAAACAAAGATTGCAGGTCTATATTTAGTTAGCTGAGCTAGACCTTGATTATCAGCCCTAGTTTCACCTCTGTCGGTTGCTTTTCAAAGCAATATGGGAGATGCTCTGTATTTTACAGAAGGGCAGAGTATGAGTTTGGGGACCATTTTTTAAAAGTGGAGAACCTCCTACACCCTCATCCTGACCAGGTTGTTTGCCCAGTGATTCCCTTCACTACAGAGAAGATGATTACATGCAATAAATGAAATAGCAGACCATGCTGTGATTCTTCTTCTTTCCTTCCTTAACCCTCATCATCAAAAAATCCCCTCCCCCCGCTTCACAATACTTTTCAGTCACAGCCTGTTGGAGTTCATGTACTAGAAATTACTAGGAAGAAGAAACAAGCCAGTTTAAAGGCTCTTTAAAGAGCCCAACCTCTGAGCTTGCTTATTATTTAAAAGTTTAGAGTATGTCTGTGAAATCCAGTTGTATATTAAATCCAGATATGTGTAATTTGCTTAATTATGTAGCTGATATAAATGATGTAATTTGCAGTAAAAAATTAATTTCATGGAAAAATCCTTGTTAAATGGGAGTGAAGTCCAAATGGAAAATCTGAAGTTCACTATACTAATGTCCATTATACTGAGAGTTTAAGGTACTTGAATTCCATACAAGCTGCTTTAGAATGATCATTTTTATTTGCAGATATAAAACACCAAAGGCTTTAACCTGGAAATATTGAAATGAGGCATTTGGTTGGCCAAGAATGCCTATGGAAAAAAGTGAAGGATCATTAAGCATTAGCCTTACACAAAAGGTGTAGCACCTTTTTCAGCCAACAAGCAAGAAACCTTTGTTCCCAGTCTAAATAAAATATGGAAACACTTGGTTCTTTAAAATATACTATTTATGTGGCATAAATGAACGGACAGCAATGTTACCTCAGTCTTCAAAGGAGGCAGCATCAGCCTGACAGGGTTGGGCCTGGTTAGTACTTGGATGGGAAACGTCCAGGAAATACCAAAGCTTTAGGCTAGATTGGGATGCTCAAAAAAAAACATGCTAAAAGAAGACAGTGAAAAACCACTTCCATACTGTTGCCAAGAAAACTACATGGATATGTTCTGAAGGCCTCGGGAGACAAACTCATGCTGAAGGGTTTCCCTTACCTCCATTCCCCCTAAGGTATTTGCTCCCTTTCCTTAATGTTTGCTCAGCTTTATTCTTCTAAGCAGGTAGTTTACCCAGAAGATCAGCTTGGGAGGTGGCTGAGGAATAGTAGGTCAGTCTCTCCCTAAAAAGGCTGACAGCAAATTCTCTCTCCCCACACTGTATCTTGTTTGCTTCTAGGTGTTGTATTAATTTCTTGCCTCGGTTATTCAGTGGTTTTGTGGCAAATGAGAATAAGATTTCTTGTTCCAGACGTGGGTGCTTCTGCTGACTACAGAAAAATGTATCTAATTTGCCTTCCCAAATGTGAAGGCTCCAAATATCAGTTTGATTAGTTTGATCACAGAACCTCCTGGTACAGTTTATTTTCAGAAGACAACTATTTTTAGAACAGAACTTCAACAAGATATTAACGGGACAAGCTAAAAAATATGGAAAGATAAAAAAGAAAATGTGTGCAGTTATTTGCTTTTGATGCAATCCTCATGCATGACCACTGTTGCGTAATTCCTGTGTCTTTCCAAATATTTATGCAATATGGACTTTCTCTCCTCTGTGATTTTTCTAAGATGGAATATGCTTCACAGCTGCCCCCGTTCCTTCCATCTTCTTTGGCTTGTTGAAACAAGTTGGTCATTTTTTGCATTCCAAGTCACAAAGAAATCACAGTGTAATCTAATACACAGAATTATTATGGAAAGGCCCAGAGAGTTTTGAAATGAAAGGTGATTAAATGCACTAAGGAAATATTTCCACTGCATCATACAATATATGTAGTATATATTTGGCAAGGCGAGGCCTGCTGGGAAGCCACAAGGGAAAAGAGTTTAATAGTCATTGTTCCATAAATACAGTGTGTAAAAAGAATATAATGTGGCATTTACTGATTAAGGCAAGAAAATTTTATCTAAGATCCAAATTAATTTCTTGATGTTTATGTTTTGTCTTTTGTATTGCTTTTTATATTCTCTGAGAGGAATATGTTTTAAATTAATAAGACTGCAAGTTGAAATCTTGATAGTTCAGCTACCCATTTAGCAACCAAGATAGTTTTGTGTTGCCCTAATAAATGCAGCCACTTTACAAGCATTGGTTGTGTGAGAAATTATTTTAGAATGTTTATTTTTCTGTTAAATAAGCAGAATAGGAAAATATGCATTTATAAGCTAGAAAATGGATATACAATTGCTCATTTAAATTTGATTTCTAAGAATAGAAAACTAAATACATCAGTACCAATTATGAAACCATATACCCAAACCTTCTTAAAAATAGATAGTATTGATTTGAGGAAGAGTAAAGAAAAAGAATGGCTGATCCTAGGGTTTAGTCCCACTAGTAAAAGCATAGCCTGAGTGGAGCAATGCTCTGGATGCTGGCAGGAGTGAGGGTCTGCTATGACTGATTTTCCTCTTTCTTTCCAGCTTTTAGCACCATCTTCCATAGTTTTATCTTCAAAATAATGCTTTATTTTCTTTGGATCATGGCAATGACTATTCATATAGAATGAGTGGTCACATGACTGAACACCAACACACACACACACACACACACACACGGTAGTAGGCTCAGATATTCCTCCCTAAAAGGAGATGATCAAAACTCACAATTAGTTTGCATGTATGTAAAATGTAGCAGGGTGGGGGTGGTCTGAATGACCATAGTGATGAATGAGGAGAAAGTTCTGCTTTACCTTTTCTTAAGGAATTACTTTGTACTCAGAATCATTTCCCAAGCCACTTTCCCATCTTCTGCCTATCTTTTTTCTTTTTCACTATGGAAAAGGAGTGGTGAAGATCAAATCTTTATTATGGTCAAAGATCAGCATAAGGAAAAGGAGTAGTGAGATTTTTGTTTGCAGAAATGGTTTATAGAGGAAAGATGAAACAACCCTTTTTCTTAAGGTTGCTGCTGCAGCAGTGAAAATTACTGCACACTCGTCATGAAATGTTCAATTGTTGGGGGAAATGCTGTCAGTTTGAGCCATAAAAAGGGGAGAGGGAGAAAAAAGATCTTGCCATGTTTGAGCCTGTGCCACTCTGAGACATTGAGGCGATAAGTGTCTTTGGAGTCACTTTGGATAAGTGCAGGAAGTTGGTGGCTGGAGAGAGACATCACTTTGAGTGTGCTGGACCATTGGAGTGGGCAGTTGCCATTTCCTGGCCCCAGGGGGATGATGTTGGCTACAGGCCGCAGGGAGAAGAGACATAAAGACCCAGAGAGAGAGACATGCTTTATCCCAAACCCAAAGTAGATGGAGGCAAAGGGAGGTGGCTACCTGCAGAGGGATACCTGGAGACCTTGAGGAAGCCCCAGACCAGGATGGATCGGGGAGAAGACTCAGAGGAAAGTGCATCATGCAACATTAATGTAGGGGGATGAACTGTCAACATCTGAAAAAGCATGAAGAAACGCTTTAAGTGCCCACCAAAGTAAATCATCTAATTCCCTTCTTATCTCTCTCTAAGTGAAAAGCTGTGGGGGAGGGAAGAGAAAGGGGGGAGTTGGCAGCTAAGCAGCGGAGTGGATGCTTGCTAGTAAATAGTTGTGGGAAAGAGGGAAAGAAAGTTTAAGACTTTCAAAAGTCTGGAGAGAGAAAGAAACTTTCTACTGGGAAGTTTGGATGCATTGCTGTAAATAGTTCTGTTTTTTCCCTAACTCCTGTAAATATACTTGCACGTAGTATATGCACAAAAAAAGCTTCCATGGTCTTGGTCTCTGTGAAGCAGTTGTTCTGCTTAGTCATGCACACATCCAGTCATAAAAGTACCCTCAGTCATGCTGTGGCAGCTCCCCAAAATGTGAGCCTAGTCACCTGTACTTTGTGTGAAAACTCTGGATTGAGTTGTTCTATGATTCATTCATTTATTTTCTTGGCTACCCATGGCATTCTCAAGAGTCTTCTCCGCACACCAATATTCAAGTGTCAATATTCTTTCTAGCTTGCTTCTTCAAAGTTCAACTTCCACAGAGGTATCATAGGGAAAATTATTGACTGCACAATTCTGTTGTTTTTTTCAATTATCCAGTGTGCATCAGCAGTAATGTATCTTGTTTTTCGGCCTCATCTAAAGTCAGCTGGAACACCTTGCATCTCCCTTTCTGTGTAAGGTTCTAACCTATGTTGGATGATGCTAAGCATTATTCTGCTAGCATGTGAAATTAAGGATATTATGGTAGTTTGTACACTCTGTTAAGTTTCCTTTTTTTGTTGTGGTGTGTAGACTTACCTCTTCCAATCTGTTGACCACTATAATTTGTTGGCATATTTTGGTTAGAATCTTTATTAAATCTTCTGTTGCTTGCCATATTTCTGTAGATATTCCATCAGTTCCTCTGGCTTTCCGACTTAGTAGTGACTGCAGTGCTAATCTAACTTCATCCTCTAATACTAGAGGTTCTTATAAGTAGGGAATACTTTCTTAGGTATCTTGGATGTTGACATCTCTGTTGTACAGAATTTCAGTATACTCCTTCCTTCTTTGTTTGATCATCTTTGAATCAGTTACTATCTCTCCATTGGCATACATTAGCATACCAATACAAGGTTTATTTATTTATTTAACAAATTTATATGGCCACCCAATTCACACACAGTGACTCTCGGCGGCTTACAGAAGGAACCTTTGGAACTTTCTTCTGAGTTTGGAGATCTTTTGGAAGACTTTCCTTGTTTTTCTGTGTCTGTTTCCATATTTGATATCTTTACAGATGTCGTAATTCTGCTTCTTGTCTCTTCTAACAGCTCTCTGAAATTCTTTGTTAAGTTCCTTTCTGAGATCTTTGTCTTTCTTGGCTTTGGCTTCTCTTCTCTTCTTGGCAATTTTTACTGTTTGCTCTGACATCTAGTTTGCTTTCTTCTAATTCTTGGTCCTTGGCAGTATCTTTTCATATACATCCTTAGCAACTTCTTTGATTTCATTCCACAGTTTCCCCTGATTTGTGATAAATGAGATTCAGGACTTCAGAATGATTCAAAATTTATAGGTATATTTGTTTGTTTGTTTGTTTGCTTGTTTAATACATTTATATGGCTACCCATTTTGTATGCATAACTCTGGGCGGTTAGCAGTTAAAAACAGGATAAAAACATAATAAAAAAACCCAAATTTAAAAACAACAGAAATAACATAAAATAAAATAGCAGCAGGAACACTCAATGTGCTCAAGGTCATGTTATGAAAACTGCTTGTCTGTCTTTTTCTGCTTTAGTTTGACTTGGAGATTGCACATGAGCAGTATGTGACTTGTTCCCCAGTTGACCCTTGGCCACATCCTTGCTATTATAATTAAGGTATTTCACCTCTTTATAGCAATTATATAGTCAGTTTGATTTCTGTGTACTCCATGTGGAGATGTCTAAATACATAAGCATTGTTTGGTTGTTGGAAGACAGTATTGGCAATAAAGAAATCATTGGAGAAATTGATAAATTGTCCTCTTGCTTCATTTTGATTTCCTAGGCCATACAGTCCAACTACATTGACCTTCTTAATATTTCCAGCTTCAGCATTCCACTCTCCAACCACAAGCAGTACATCTTGCTTGCATATTCTGTTGATTTCAGACTGAACTTGACCATAACACTTGTCAACCTGGTTGGAGGGTAAACTTGGATAATTGCCATATTGAAGGGTTGTCTGTGAAGTCTTATTGATATTATTCAGCAACTGATTGCATTCTAGTCAGGTACTGTCCTTGCTACATTTTTCCTGACTATGAAAGCAAAACCATTCCTTCTTAGTTTTTCGTGTCCTGAGTAGTAAATAATATGATCTTCTCACCTAAGGTGTCCAATTCCAATCCATTTCAGTTCACTGATGCCTAAAATGTCAATGTGGTTGATTAATTTCACCTTTCATTGTGTTGAGCTTTCCCACGTTCATGTTTCTCATGTTCCACGTTCCCACTGTAACTCTGTCTTTGCAGCTTCAGATTTTCTTTCCCTGCATGGTAAGTTCGCAACTAGACATCCTACATTTCTTAATTTAGCCATGTCATAAACACATTGGTATTACAAAAGATCCTCAGCTCTTTCTCTAGCACGTTGAGCACCATCTGACCTAAGGGGCTCAACATCTGGCATTATAGTGTCAGTCACTTTTTATTATCTATCTATATGGCTGTCTTGGTAAAATACAGGAATGATTTTCCATTGCCTTCTCCTGCACAATATGAAACACGGCTTTGACATTGTCACTAAAGCAATTACCGCCTTCAGTATCTTCCAATATTGCTGCTGTCCAATATAAGTGCCTGCTTGCTTTAGCTGGGCAGCTGGGATGAAGTTCACGCCTTGGGAGATTATAAACTCTTGGCATTCTCTCCCAGTGATCTTTGCTTATCCCTTCCAGGAACATGCCCCCCTCCCTCCATAATGAAGCAGCACAGCAGGACTTGAGGGAGAAACCCATTAATATCCTATTGAATCTGAATCCTGTTGTTTTCAATAGGTCTGTTCTAAGAAGTAAGTTAACCCAAACAAATATGACAGTAAAATGTTTGGTTGCACATATTGCAATATTGTATGTTATGCTATTGAGATATCTTTGTGAAATGCAAGTAGGGTTGAAACAGGATTATAGATACTCTGATCAGCTGATGATAGAGAGGAACAACTGAGGGAGGCCACCACCATAATATGTTCATTTCTAGTCCTCATTCTTTAGATGACCTGGGAGTGCACGAGCAATCTAAATAATAAAATGACTGAGTGCTTAAAACAGAACTGAGCTATGCAGAGTAGCTAATCATATAGCTCCCTGATGATGAGGCTATACACTTGAGATGTATCAGTGTATTGTGTCTGGCCAAAGGGCTTTTATTGTAGATTTTTTATCCCACTTTTATTATGCTTATAAATACCTTAAGGTGGTGAACATACCTAATACTTCTTCCTCCTCCTATTTTCCCCACAACTACAACCCTGTGAGGTGAGTTGGGCTGAGAGAAAGGGACTGGCCCAAAGTCACCCAGCTGGGACTAGAACTCAGTCTCCTGCTTTCTAGCCTCGTGCCTTAAACCACTAGACCATACAGTGTGCTTTAATACATGATGCCTCCACAATACATTGGTTATTACAAATGTGGGATTTGATAGCTTGTGATAAACTTTGGATCGCTCAAATAATCCACTCACACAATTGAAAAATTGTCTCATAGGAAATGTCCTAGCATGGCACAACACTTTCTGGGATTGCTATAGGCTCAGGTACACTAAAATCTGTTTAAGACAGAATAGATCACATAGAAGATACTGCAGAATTGCCTGAATTTAGGATTCAGCTATTGTGAAGATTATGCCACTAATTAGGATGAGCATCTGTTGGACCGTACAAGATTTATATGAGCATAGCTGCCCGTTATTTAGGGTCCAATTCAGAATGTATGCATAACTTGTCTGCAAAAGGTCAAGCCTTTAATGGCAGGCAAACTCAAGAGATTTAAACCACTTTGGTTCTGGAAAGATCTTTATTGCTAGCAAAGTATTGTAACAGAATCTTGAAAGCCTATCAGAACAATTCTCCAGCTAATGTAATTAAACCAGAGTTACTCTGAGTCTCTTTCTCATGTTTGCCCCACTCCCCTGGACTTAGGAATCTTTTCTGTAATGGCCCTGTTTTCATCTAAAACTATTATGCTCTGTCCTTCACTTTCTCAGGGTCTGTTAGACATTTCACTGCAGAAAACCATCTGATTATACATCTATCATATAAATAACTAGACTAGTTAGTCCATTACAATTTTTGAGAACTCAGTCTTTATAACTAGGACTTAAGCATTTTTCTCTTGGATCTACTGCAAACATGCAGTATGGTGACAGTCCCAAAGACATATTAATATTTGCACACTCATATTTTGTATTTATGGCCAGCATAGTATGTACAATTAGGTATAAAAGGCACTTTGGGGCTTTGATAGTTCTGTGCACCATACTGGCCCCTTCTACTCTGAGAACAATGATCCTGCTTATGGCACTTTGTTCGTCTTTCAGTTTTTCTGCCTTGGTTACTTAGACACAGACTTCAGAAATGCTAGATCCTGACAGATCACATCATGGATGGAAACATAAATCTGTTTCACAAACTAAAATTGAATAAAGTACTTAAGCTAGTTTATAAACTATACTGAATAATCTGTGACACATTTTCTTTTTTTCTCTTCTCTACTTTTTTTCTTTCATTACGTTATTTCAGGAAAATATCAAGATTAAAGTGAATATATTGGAAAACAATGGGGATATTCAGGAAAGACAGGTACTGTATGTTCAACTTCCTGTACTTTCTTTAGCAAAGTCTTTTCTTTTTTTCAGTTGTGATTGATTGGTAAAAATTCATCCTATCCTTAGGTTCTTCCTAGTTATAATAGTCTAGTAAATATACTGAGTTGTTGATTAATGTTTTAGGGAAACTCGAAGCAATAATTCTTTCCAATAAATAGTTTTGCTATGTTTATATTGCCTTCTGTGGGTTTGTAAAAGTTAGAAAGTAATATGTTAGGGTCCAAAGTTCGTGCTTCATTGGCATTATTCTGTATACATACAGGTGTGCCTGAATGTACAGTATGTATTTTGTATGTCTATGTACTCCCTTGCAACCATAATAGTAGAGCAATTGTCAGTAATGCATAATTTTATACTATGGACTGATATTGATCAGTCCTAGCTGTTCTTCACTGGCTGTTCCTGAGATATACTAATAATAGTTCCCAGCCCTTAGCTTTCAGAGGCTATGGAGAAACTGAGGACATGGTTTTCTGTTGCTGGTTGGAAGCCCTAGGTACCAGTCTGAGTTAAAGGATTATTTTGTTAATGATGATAAGCAAAAGTGAGAAGCAGTGGCTCATCATTTAATTTGTATCTAAGTTACAGTAAGAAATTAGGTTTTCAAAGTTTCAGTGATTTCCCATCAAACAGTGTACATTCTGCCTTTTATTCCTCTTACTATATCTTAGTTTTTCCATATAGAGATACTAAAGTTTCACAGGTTATATTTTTCAGGTGCCATCCACAATTACTAAAATCAGTGGCAATATAGTCAGGAGTCAAACCAGTTTGGTGTAGTGGTTAAGGCACCAGGCTAAAAACCAGAAGACCATGAGATCTAGTCCTACCTTAAGCACAAAGCCAGCTGGGTGACCTTGGACCAGTCCCTCTCAGCCCTAGGAAGGAGGCAGTGCAAAACATTTTTGAAATCTTGCCAAGAAAACTGCAGGAACTAGTCTAGGCAGTCAACACTGACTCAATGGTACCAAAAAAAAAAAAAAAGCAGTCAGGAATCAGTATGGGATGGACTGCATTCTGTTGTGGTTCTTTTAAGGGATGAAAGCATAATGATGGCAAATTTATCAGCATACTTAGTTAATTTTTAATCTCTTATATTTATGTCTTATTTTGATCATTGCTATCATGATTATTTAAATTAAATACAGCTTGGTCAGCCTTGTATTTGGAAATGTATACATTCAATATGTGTTATTCTGTGGATTTCTCTAGGTTGTCCTTAATATCACTTACATAAATGGTCAGGTGTATGTAAATGACTTTCCACTGAAGAGCGGAGTCACCCGGATAAAATGTCAAACTTTAATTTGTGAGTATTGCTTAATTCACTATCTGGATTGTATGTTCCTCTATAACTCCCATCATTAAAAAAAACCCTGCATAATAAATTAGAAATAACATATTTTTTTCATTTTTAAAGAATTCAGGATTATTTATTGATTGTCATCTGTAGTTTTCAATTAATTCAAGGCAGTCCATTTTTGTGTTTATAACAAAATACAAATGGTGATTAGATGTTGATTTTGTGGAAACCCTGAGCGAGTTCCTGTTTGGTTAATTCAGTGTTTCTCAACATTGGTGACTTTAAGATGAGTGGACTTCAACTCCCACTGGCTGGGGAATTCTGGGAGTTGAAGTCCACTCATTTTAAAGTTACCAATGTTGAGAAACACTGGGTTAATTTATTTGTGCCACAGACTGAGCTGTAGAAACTCAAGGATGTGACCCCACCCTGATAAATCCTGTCTGTCTCCTGTCACGCCAGCACATATCCAGCTGAGTTGGTGAAGGAGAAAAACAGCATGGTTTCAGATCATCTTAGCAAAACACTTTTTAAATAGACTTTCCTAATTCAAATTCTGTTTATGTAAGAAATGGGATTTTTCTTGAAAGGATGAAAGTATTACCCAGTAAACACAAATTTAAAATGACACTTACTAGAAGGAGCAAGCATTCTGGTTTGTTTAGTTCTTTGTTATTATGTGCCTTACCCTGAAAAGAAAGATCCTGACTGGATATGTAGGCAATGTTCTATATAATTAATGAAGCCACAGCAATTACATGCCATTTAAGGACTTTTTATACACCAAGTATTTACTTGATATGATATACTGGTTGTAGCTAGTTTCAGGGTTAGCTTCTAAGATAATCTACCCTTTACCCAAGGACATGCTAATATGTTTTAAAACTGGTTCTTAAAAATCTAAAGCAATATGAATAAAAAGATGCTGCAGAAGAAATGGAGCCCCAGCAATGATTCATTGGGGCCTTTTGTGAGGGGATCTCTTCTATACTTTCTAATGTTAAGCTAGATCTTCAAATACTCTAAAGAAAGAAAGCCCCCTTCAGTTCATGGGGTTTTACTGTGGAAAAGCACACATCTCATTCAGTTCTCTAACCAAATTTCATTTGATGTAATATAATACCTAATTGCCTTTAGTTCTTTGAATTTCTATTAAATGCTGAAGAATGTCACATGAGTTTGTGATCGTATAATATAATGCATTATGTTATTCCCCAGGTGTATGAAGCAGAATGCCTGCCTGCAAATCTTCACTGACTTTACTGGACTAAGTGGAATGGGAGGAAGTTAGATTAGGAAGATCAGTAATACAGTAATACAGAAAGCCATGGGAACAGCTCCTTGGCCCTCCACTACTGGATGTCAGTTCAGTGTTGCAGAATGGATGCCAAGGCTACTCTGCCAACACAAACATCCTGACAATAGTCATGTTATATGCAAATTTAATTTAATACAGTGGTAGCACTAGTTATTACTCTCCTGCTGAAATCAATGTAAGTGTACATACCTGGAGAGGAAAGGAAGTTGGGTGTTTGAGCATAGTAGTGGAGAGCTACTAAACTGAGAGAAACCTACATTGCCAGATGGCAGCTTCCATTTGAAAGGGAGGAGAAAACATTCTATGACCTTGTCACTTCATGTGCTACTCATAGGTTATATTGTGGCTTGGATTATGGATACTTTAATTTTGATTTGGATGTTCAATTTAAATCTAAATATTTTCTGTCAATTCAGTGACTTCTGTGGCCCATATAGGACAAGTGGAACTGCTGCTAGTTTTTCCTTAGATACAGGAAAGTTAATCCTTCCCATTAATTCAACACTTTACTTCAACTAGTATGGAGAGGGGTATGACTTCTCCACTCTGTTGACCTTAAAACTTGACTCAGTGGGTTGAAAACCTCCAGAGCAGATTTGGGAAGAAAGGGGCTGACTTCAGGGCAGGAGGGAAGAAGAGAAAATGGAGAAGTGCTATTGTGCAAAAGATGATCTTCTACAAAGCAGAAAATATTCCTGTTTACATCTGAATAGTTTATTTAGCCCTCTGTTGTTTCTCCTAAAAATAACTGTGAATCTAGTCAGCTAGTTATATTAATTCCATACTGAATTGCAGTATGGGGCCCAATCCAGTTTGCAACACATCAGTCATCATTTTAATGTGTAACTTATTTTTAGAGATTTTGTTTCTCTGCATGGCCACTATATGATACACAGTTATTTGTTGATAGTGAAGAGTGGAAACTCTGATACTTTATTGGATCAGAAGCAATTAGGAATCGTCAATGTTCGCATTATGGTCCATGAGTGGCCGATGGCATCCAGCTCCAACTTGCAATTGATTGTTGTTCAAGAAGAAGTGACAGATATAGATGGAAAGCAGGCAAGTATTCTTTCTCTAAATCATTGTGTTTACTAGCCTAGGTATAAATCCACAGTAGAAGATTGTTTTTGCAGAATGAATATTTAGTTTAGTTCTGTGGTTTATCTTTTGCCAGCAAATCAGCAATACTGCTATCTAATGTTATACAGCTCTATGTCTTCTTTGTATCAGAATATATAAAAAAAAAATTTTAATTAAAAAAACCTCAAAGACAGCAACCTTTATATATTTCTTTAAATTTTTACAGGAATTTCCATGGCATCTATATAATCACATTTTAAGGATTTGTTTATAAATATTTCCTATCTCCAAGAGAAGGGTAGCTTTTTTAAAGCAACTCCTTTGTACAGTATGTGAATTCTTTTGTTGTAAAGGTAAAGGATAAAGTGGCCTTGAGTTGAGCTCAGTTCTTGGAGACTCCATGGATATATCCATGCAGTTTTATTGTCAGCAATATGTAGTGGGAGATTTTTTTCAACTTCCCCATCTAATCTACAGTGATGGTATTTCCTGATGGTTTCCCATATGATTCTTGACCAGGCCTGGCCCTGTTTAGCTTCCAAGTCCAGAAAAGACCCAGCTGGTGCCAGCTGCTCAGACCTCATTGGCATAGACTTCCCCAGAATTATTTTTAAGATCAAAGATAGTTCTAAGATTTGCTACTGGGTGTTATTATTGGTTTGTTTTTACATACGAAATGGGGGAGAGAGTAAAGATCTTAATAGTTTAACTTGGAAGTCCTAATAGCACACATTTATTTTTGGAGTTCACACATTCTGCTCTTCTGCCAGCATTGAATAGGATCAGTTGAGGCATCCATCTGATATTCCTAGTATTAGCAGTATCATATATTTTTTGTGTTGACCATATATTTACCCTTTGTTATTCAGAATCTGGATCAAATATACTTTCATATAATTTCCTTATGAAGCAAACACTCTTAATAACTTGGACAGGTTGTACTTGAAATTCCCATATACTTGATTCTGAATCATTTTCATAGCAAGGGTTATAGAAAACTTTTTTTCAGGAGGATTTGAAGTAACATACTGTTTCAGGCTGATTTTATTTTGAATCCAACCACATACTGCAGAAAGTGATTCTATTCTACATATTGTAGAAAAGAACTGATGTATTGTAGAAAGGAAAGTGATTCCATCCACATATTGTAGAAAGGGAAAAAAAGCATCTTTCTTCCAGTTGGCACATTTAATCATATATATGATCCTAGTTCTACAAAGATGGAAGAACCCATTGCCCTGCTAAACAGCTTTGAGAGCTTGATACCTTCTTTAGAACATACTTTTTTAATTCTAGCATGAGAGGACTTCCTATACCCACTTGCATATTATGTTGGACAGTTTTGGGGTGTTGTATTATTTTTAGCACTATCACTGTTTATGCAACACTTTCAGAAAAGTGGAGTGGACAAACTGATTGATTCTGCCAGGAAGCAGCCTTTGGTTTGTTTAAATTCCAAAGTATTCAAGTCTTTCTCATTTCTGATTGTCAGTGAAGAGATAAACCTTGACTATATTATTATTCTGGAAGCCTGCCAGATTGCCTGGTAATAAGGTTTTATCAACTGTAGTGTCTGTCTGAAAAATGTCTTTGCTGATAAGACTTTTTATTGTGGGGAAGGTTCTAATAGATAAGAGCTGGAGGTAGTTTTCTTTTTTTAGATCCTTGGTTTATGAATTCAGTTTTGGAGAAGTTATTGTTATCTTGCAGGACGATCATTCAGCCATGGAATGTTTGGTGCTGTCAATAAGCCCACTGATTTCTCATGCAACTCTTCTCCTTAGGGGAGAATCCTTCAGCATCTTAAGTGCAGTCACTCCAACAGAAGCTCCTAGGTGTCTTTATTCAAGCCCCACTGGTTCCTTTGCTTCCAGTTAATCAGTTCCATCATTTGGTTTGGTAAATTGGACCACTAAGCTACAAGCTTCTCATCGCATAAAGACTCAACAGCAAAATATTTGGCAAGATGGGAAGCTAAAAAGAAAATTGTTATCAATACAGGTAGTCCTCGCTTACCAGCTGCCTTGTTTAAGAACTGTTCGAAGTTACTATGGTGTAAAAAAAACAGCTTTGCAACCAATATTTGCATTTATGACCGTTGCAGCGTCCTGCAGTCATGTGATTGCCATTCGTGTGCTTCACAACCAGCTTCTGACAAGCAGAGTTAATTAAGAACAGGAAGTAAAATTGCAAGTTGTGGTCATGTGATGTCTTCCTTAATGACTGAATGGGAAGTGACGTAAGCCCGTTGCGGTCACATGATTTTCCGCTTAGCAACTGCAGTGCTTAGTGACAGAGTTGCCGGTCCCAATTGTCGTTGCTAAGCAAGGACTACCTGTAATTAGGAAACAAACTGAAAATGAAACAAAATGCGGTTAGGGGTGAATATTGAGGATTCCTTGTCTGAGTTAAGGAGAGAGGGCAGCTTATAATCCATTCCTTTGCATCCTGTGACTTGGGCAATGAGTTACCAGTGCTGTTTAAGGGATGCTGATGCAGTTCATGCCTATGGTCATTTGTGCTAAAATAATGATGGGGACAGTGGGCTGGCTAGAAGGGAGAAGGCACATTGATTTCCTCAATCTGGCTGAGCCAGGAGAGTGTAACGGTTAAGGTATTAGATTAGGACCAGGAAGATCCAGATCCAAGTCCATCTTTCATAGAAAAAACTCTCTAGGTATCTTTGGGCCAGTTTCTTTCTTTCTTTCTAGATCAACTTGTCTGACATAAAGTTTTTGCTGGGGAGGAAAAAAAAGAACGGAGGGAGGAAATGTTATTTATACCTCCTAGGGCATGGCTGGCTAGGGAATTCTGGGAGTTGAAGTCTACACAGCTTAAAGCAGCTAAGGTTGAGAAACATTGTCCTAGAGTGAAGATGGAATATTTATTTATCTACCAAATGTATACGCTGCCCATTCCCAAAGGTATCAAAATTGTCATAAAATAAAGAATAGCCCCCACAAAATAATTAAGAAGGTCTCCAAATATGAACAAAAATCAACAACATTAAACATTGTAAACTGGGAAATACGAATTTATGTGCCTGCTGGAGTCCAAATTATTTATTTTATTATTTTGTTTTTTAATTTTTCAAATTCAAATTTTAAATTTTAATTAATTAATTTTAATTTAATTTAAATATTTGAAAAATTTGAAAATTAAAATGTTAAATTTTAATAATATATTTATTATTAAATATAAGTATTATTACTTATTAAAGTAAGTCATAACTTACTTATAAATCTATTAAGTAATCAAATAAACAAGGCAGTCAGCCTCTTTCTTCCTCAGTTAACTGACAGATATTTTTTTCTTTATTGCCATCCAGACACACTTCTTGTGCATTACCTGCAAGCATACACTAACTCTTGGGCTATAGATTACCTTGCCTCTAAAACCATTCAGAATTCAGATAATTCACTCAGTACAAATGAAGAAATTAATGTTTGGGTGCAGAATTCATCTGCAATTCTCTTGATTCATTGTCTTCAATGGCAACATTCTACTCTTTTCCTGCATTGTTCCTCACTGAGAGAAAATAATCCACACTGATGCTAGAAATGGAGCCATTTGCTATCCCTGACAATATGATATGATATACAATGTATACAATATTAATATGATAATGAAATAGATGGAGAGCTCTTCATGAGATGAGAAAAAGGGGTAGGAGCACATTTAGCCTTCACTTAAACAAAAGCAACTTTTCATCTTGAAATCGCTTTTTGCATAAAAGCTTGACTGTTTTCCACAACAGTCTCAACATGTGTGGACAAGAAAATGGCTCCCAATGTGGCCTCTTTTGCAGGTTAAACAAGATGAAGTGACAGAAATAGACCTATTGGTTAAGGATCAGCGAGTCCTGAGACATACAAACTACACCGTTCCTCTGGAGGAAAGCATGCTGTATTCCAGCCCGAGGGACAATGATATTTTGTTTACGGTTCCGAACCTTGCAGGAAAAGGTACACAGTCTCGTTGAGCTGCAAGAATTGGACTTTTATTTATTTATTTATTTATTCATTCATTCATTCATTCAATTTCTATAGCCACCCATCTCATGTAAGTGACTCTTACTTTTTGTTAAAAAGATGCTTTCGAGTTTATTTCTTGCCATTTCACTTTAGTGTTTTGATTATTTTTTTTAGACTCCTTACCGAGAAGGGAGCTGATTTAATTAATTCATTTGTTAACTGTATCTGGGCTACTCTTTCAGTGTTCAAAGTGGTATGGACTTTTTAAGAGTAGCATAGGTAGGTAAAGATACAAAACAATGCAACCAGTGATGAACATTTTTATCAGTTATTTGGAAGAGGGAGTTCAGGGGATCCTTATCAAATTTGGAGATATCATAAAACTGGGAGAGTTGGTTAATACTTTAGATGAAAAAAGATTTTAAAAAGATCTAGACAAGCTTAGACAGTGAGCAAAAATGAATAGAACGGAGATATGTAAAGTTCCACATCTTGGTAGGAAAAATGTAAGGCAGTAGCCTGGGATGGGGAAATCTGGCTTGTTTTTTTACCTACAAAAAGGGCCCTTGTCAATCAGAAGTTAAACATGAAGTAGTAATGTGATTTTAGTTGCTGAACGGACAAATATTATCTTGGGATACCTTAAGAAGAGCTCAGAATCCAGATCACAGGAAGTTTCTAACCATTCTGCCCTGGTCAGACCCCATTTGAAGAACTGGCATCAGAATTCAAAACGGACAAATTGGAGCATGTTCAGAGGAGGGCTACCAAGATTGTGCTGGGTCTGGAAATGACGCCCTATGAGGAATGTTTAACAAATCTGGATATGCTTAGCATACAGAAAAGATAATTGAGTGAGAGGTGATAGTAGTCTTCAGATATCTAAAGAACGGTCACATAGAAGAGTGACTTGTTCTCTTTGCCCCAGAGAGCAGGCCAGAACCAAAGGGTTAAAACTACAAGGAAGTAGGTTTGGACTAGATGTTAGGAGGAACATCTCACCTGAAATAGTGAATTCTCCTTTGCTGGAGGTCTTCAAACAATGGCTGGCTGGTTATTGGAGATGCTCTGGTGGAACCTGCACCAAGAAGGGGGTTGGACTAGATGACCCAAGATCTATACTAACTCCAGGAATCTATAAAAGATTTTAATAATTTTGCACATCTGGGCTTTGTTTCTTGACCTTACTCTGCTTCTTTTTACTGGCTCACAATGTCAATTAAAAAAAACAACAACCTTTTTTATTTTTGTAAAATAGATGTTGAAAGTCCTCTACAAACAACCAGTCACTATCTTCTCAGGCAGGTAGAAACTACAGTAGATGAACAGACAATGCATGGCAAATTACCAGAGACTCCACTCAGAACTGAGCCACCATCTTCTTATAAGGTATATTTTTTCAGTGATTGTAGGTTTTGGTAAATATTACAGTCACCTAATTTGAGTTAATGGATACATACAGGAATTATTGGTGCCTGATGTATCTGACATCTCAGTCACTCTGTCAAAGAACCTGAGTCCTACTAAAAATAAAAAGGCATGGAAACAAGGAGGTAACCAGAAGGGAGGTAAAAAAAAGTCCAGATGGGGTTGTAGCTTGAAGTCCTGCCCCTTTCTACATGTACCTGGTACACATACCAAGGGGTGGAGCTTCAATCATGCAGTTATGATCCTCATCTCGAGGTTTTGGCATCTCCTCCCAATTCCCCTGTCCCCTGATGCTTCTGTGTGTGTGTGCCTTTGAGTCAGTGTTGATTCCTGGTGACTGCCTGGACTAGTCCCTGCAGTTTTCTTGGCAAGATAATGGAAATGGTTTGCCCTTGCCTCCTTCCTAGGGCTGAGAGAGAGTGACTGGTCCAAGAACACCCAGCTGGTTTCGTGCCTAAGGCAGGACTAGAACTCAAGGTCTCCCAATATCTCCTGATGCTCCTGGATGTGGCTAACAGTTCACTAGCTTAACTTCCTCCTGATAGGCTACTCTCAAATGCAAGTATAGATAGACCTCACTTACCAACAGTAATTGGGTCCAGGAACTCTGTTGCTAAGCGATGTGGTCATAAGGCATGATGTCACATGACCATGCCAACTTATGATAGCAGTTCCAGCAGTCCTAGTTGTTGTCGTTAGGTGAATCCCACTTGGTCACAGTGTCCTGTGGTCACATGATCACCATTTGTGACCTCCTGCCAGCTTCCCCATTGACTTTGCTTGTTGGAAGCAGGCAGCGAAGGTTGCAAATGGCAATCACATGACTGCGGGATGCTGCAATGTCGTAATTGCAAGCCTGTCGCTGAGCATCTGAATCATAATCACATGACCGTGGGGATGCTGTGATGCCCACAACTACGAGAACCTGTCATAAGTACCCCTTGTTCAGTGCTGTCGTAACTTTGAACAGTCGCTGAACAAGTGTATGTTAAGTGAGGGCTACTTGTAAACCATGTCAGGAGAACAATGAATGATAGATGAGGCAGAAGTTCAGCCAGGACTCTCCAAGCCCTTAAGTGTATCTTCCAACAGAAGCTAGACCTTCCCTGCTGGATTTCTACCTGATAGGCAGCTGCTAAAGTCACCCACCCAGAACAGTTAGTGCTGAGCAGACCATTATGAAGTGCTGTGGCCATGAGGCTCTCCTGAGATTAGTGCCAGGCCCCAAGTCTACCCTCCACAAAGCTTTTGAAAGGACTGGAGTGCTCTTGGATATCTGTAGGGCAGTTGTTAGCCCCCTGGCTCAGCAGTAGCACTAGACTGGCTACTAGCCCAAACCCACTGCAACATCATTTTAGGCTCTGATGGACTGGTGGCAGGTGCATGGCTGGCTGGGGAATTCTGGTTGTTGAAGTCCACATGTCTTAAAGTTGCCAAGGTTGAGAAACACTGCTTTAAACAATAGAATATGTGGGAAAAGATGCCAAGGAATGCTTCAAGGGGCAAAACAGTAATGTTTGTAAAGACAAGCAACATACATAGAACTCTCACATCATGACAGAAGTGTAAATTATAAATTGTTACAACAAACACCAAAGAAAAATAGGCTTTTGCAGGGGGTCATTACTGGATTTCAATGGCAGTGTTGTTATTTTTCCAGGTGATGTGCCAGTGGGTGGAAGATCTGAGAAAGGAGCTTTGTACGTTTTGGCTCAAATCTTTTCCTGTGTTTTTTAATTTTATGGAGGTCATTGTGGTTGGAATTATAGGAGCAGCTTTAATCATAAAAGTATTAAAAGTGTTTTGTCCCTCATGTGAAAGCAGGTAAGTCTCTTTTTTATTTTTTATCCTCGAAACAAACTTCCTTCAGTGATGGGAGTTTCATTTCAATTTTTTAAAAAGTGTGTGTGTGTGGGAGGTCCCTACTACAGTTCTAGAATGGACAGTTTTGCAAATGTAAATTTCTCCAGACTTTGGAGTTAAAAGACAAAAAGAATCTTCTTAGTGTATGGAGAGTTATCTTAAATGGCATACATTCTATTTTAATCCAATAGCAACAATATAAAATATAAATATTTATTCAAGCTGGGCTGATTAAATTGATAAACAGAACTCACCTACAAGGTTTATAATCTGTTAAGGAACTAATGTACGCCACCTTGGGTCTTGATTTGATGGCTTTATAAATGCAATCGATTAAATTATTCTATTATTAATGGGAAATAATCACCAGATGATTCAAAATGTTCAGATGCTAAATGGATTTCTCTCTAGGTTCCCCCCACCCCCGGCAGGATCTCTGCTCAGAGTATGCACACTAAGGGGGAAGGGGAAGGAAAGGCAATCCTGTTTGGTTTCTCCCCATCCCTCCATAGCTTCCCAAAAGCAGCATCAGATAAAGTTGGAATGCTTTAGGTGGCAGGATCAATTTTGTTCTTCTAGTAATACTAGTTTACAAACAAGAACTGGATACACAGTAACGGTCCAGAGCAGTCCTGCTCCATACCCTGATCATCCCCATCTCTACCCATGTACACACATTCCAATATCATTGGGATTGTGAGAAATGAGGAACATGAGTGTCCACAGATTAGCAAGAGTCAGATGGGTCAGTTTTTTTCCCTTACTGAGCCTCACAAAAGCTCTGTGAGATTTGTGGTAAATCATCCTGAGAGCTATCAGTCAATGTCTCCTGCTTCCTCAGACTTAGGGGGCCAACAGCTTGCCATCAGCATTCCTCTTTTGGTTTAGAAACCTCTGATGGCTGAAGAAGTCCTATCTGCAGAAGGTGTACTCACAAACCCACCCACTAGTATATTATTACATATTGGCGTGTCCTGGTTGCTTTGTTTAGAAATACTTGGTGGCAAGTACCAGATTATTCAAGATGTTAGTTTGCATGTATACAGTTTTTCTGGTACTTTCTTATTAGTGTATATAGTTCATGTTCTTGACCGTATATCCTTTGTGTAAACATATTAGTATCTTAAATATCCTGCCTCTTTTATTCTTTGTCAAAAACAGAGATGTGTTCATTATTAGTTAAGATTGCACAGTATTTGTATTTGTTTCATAAGGTTTGTCTTATTTGAAACCATTTTTCTCTGCTCTTTGACCAAAAAAGGCTATTAGAGCAGCATACAGATATCCATACTACATTAGCCTGCCCTTGGTCTTAAACTTGTGGCACACTAGAAAAGGGAGATGGGGAAATAAATGAAGAATAGGAAAGCCCTAGCATCAGTTCTCATAAGTCCTTTAGATGAAAATGGTAGCTTAATGGGAGAGGTGATACTGGAAGAGACAGGTGAGTGAAAGTGTTTTTTCTAAATAGCATACCTCCTGAAAATTCTTTGAAACAAGGTTTAATTACATTTTAGTCTTTGCAGCATACTGTATATAGACCGTTTTCAGAAACTGATGATCTGGCTTTAGATTTTTAAACACGTTTCCTTAGCTCTTTTAACTGTGAAGCTGAAACATTTAGATATCATATTTCTGAAGTCTGTATTTTAATTGATAACTTATTTTTTTTCTAGGGGAATCCTTCAACTTGATGCCAATGTCATACCTGTGGCTGCAATAAGTTTACTTCCAGATATTCCAGAGAAGATAAACAATATAGAGGAGAAATGTATTTAAAAACGTGTACTGTGATTATATGAGTTTGTTGACCTAATGAATTTGGCACTTGAATCTTAATATATTACCTAATTCAGCCTTCTGAATCTACTGCCTTCCGGACATTGGGGCTACAACTCCCAATATTCATAAATAATTGCAGTTCTGACGTATCTAGAGGGCTGTAGTTTGAGAACTGCTGATTTCACAGCAGTTCTCAATTTGCTGTTTTTATTAAATCTATGAATGAACCATATTTAAAGGACAATTAAGGTTGAGGCCCATAAGAGTTTCTCATTTCTTTTCATTTCAACCATTGTAATATATTTTTGACAGAGGAAAAAAAAAAGCAGTTTCCTTAAGGACTTCAGTAAGTTCTAACTTCTATGAAGTAATTTCCCACTTCCTGAAACGATATCCTGTATCTTCCCAACTACACTGGTTGTAGGACACACCATGCTAACCCAGTAAATTTGACCCAAACTCATGGAACCGAGTAAATAGCATGAACAGGAGCATAGATTTGTGACAAAACTAAAAGCTATTTTAGGCCTGCCGTCTTTAAGCGTGCCTTATGGGACAGGTCAAAAGCAAAAAAGTTTTTATACTGCTCTGACAATAAATGAATTATTGGTGCAATTTTTGTTTGGGTTTTCCAAATATAATCTTGATGTTGTAAGCACTTTCAGGGTCTTTCCTACTGAATTTATGAACATTTGTAAAAATGTGCTTCTTAAAAACTTACAGTACACTACAAATGTCTTTCACCTAGGAGTACAAAATGCCTTAAAGTACTGTATTGATTCAGAGCAGTTCTAGATACAGATTTGTATGATCATCAGACCTTACTGTAAATTTGTTTCTTGAAAGAAATTGGAGATCATGTAGGGTTCCTTTTTCAAAGTTGATTGAGGCAGCAAATCTGGATCCAATCCATTGTATTTGCTAAATACTCTTTTCATTTTCTAGTGGTACCTAGTAAGTATTAAGTAGGGTCATTGATATTCATCTCTCCAAAACTAAATTTGCCTAGGACATTTCCCCAGTTTTACTGATTGTTACCAAGGCATTTATCTCATCAGCAATCAGGATTAGTTCCTCCTGTAATTGGAAACAAGAGTTCCAACTTACGCTCACCTACCAGATTGTTGCCCTTGAGTATCTAAATGATGTAAATGATCAAGTACTACAATCCTTTGATGAGGAAAGAGATCTTAGGGTAATGGTAAACAGTTCAATGAAGGCATCAACACAATGTGCATCCTCTGTAAAAAATGGCCAACGGCATGTTAGGGATAATAAGAAATGGTATTGAAAATAGAAATGCCAATGTTATAGTGCCCTTATATCAATCAGTGAGGTGACCGCATCTGGAATACTGTGCACAGTTCTGGTTGCTGCAGCTCAAAAAGGATATAATGAAGTTAGAGAAGGTCCAGAAGAGGGCAACTAAGATGATCAAGGGGCTGAAGTCGCTTCCCTATCCTATGAGGAATGGTTGCAACAATTGGGGCTTTTTGTCTAGAAAGGAGACGTGATTGAGGTGCACAAAATTATGCAATGTGTGCATAAAGTGGAAAAGAAGAAGCTGTTTTCCTCTTGTCAGAAAGAATACCAGAACTAGAGGTCACCCAATGAAATTGAATTCTGGAAGAATCAGGACAAAAGGATTTTAAAATGTAATTAAACTTTGGAATTTGCTAACGCGATGTGGTACTGGCTACCAGCTTGGCTGGCTTCAAAAAAGAGTTGGACCAACTCCTGGTAGTCATGGGGATCACTGGCTATCAGCCTTGATGGCAGTGGTTGCCTCTGAAAGCCATCTGCTAGGAGACTAGTGGGCTTCTTTGTGCAATTGTTTGGCCACTATGAGAACAGACTGCTGGACAAGATGGGCCAGGGGTCCACTCCAGCAGGGCACTGCTTATGTTCTTATGTCCTCAGAAATTATTAAGAAGGTGCCAAAGAAATCTGTTCTGTAACACAAAAGTGAGCAGATCCATGGATTTTGGATGAATGTCTAGCATTAATAGACAAAAATTGCAAACTCAAAGTTGTGACTCAACAGCATAATAAACCAGTCCTTCCTGCTTCAAAGCCTATTTGTCACTTTGTATGAGATGGGTGACTATATAAATACGATAAATAAATAAAATAAATACATTTGAATAACATTGCAGAATAACAAAGCCATTTGAATAACATTGCAGAAGAACTCAAGCTGTGTATCACTGAGAATATTGCACTCACTACATCATACTGTTACCTCAGTGATAAATTTCAACAGAAGACATAACAGAAAGATGGCACTTTTGTGTGCCCTGGAACCGAATAACCGAGTTGACACAATTACATCCAGCTCCTTTAAAACTGTCCTGTTCTAGAAGACACTCGAGTAGAACCAACTGTTGATAGCCCTGGTGGCAACATTGAAGAATGTGAGCCAAGAATCTAAAATAAAAGCTGTCATCCATCAATTAAAAAAAATGGGAAAGCTGCTGGAGCAGTTGATGTCACTGGAGAATTGCTAAACCCTGGTGGTGATACATTAGATTGTCAGCTCCACTCCATCAACTAATTTGGCAATCTGAAGAAATACTAAATTTGTGGAAACGCAATAATAGGACCAATTTTCAGAAATGAGACAACCAAGAGTACAAAAATGATTATGGAATTAGCTTCTTGTCAATCATGGGCAAAGTATTTAGGAAAGTAATCCAACAAAGGCTTCAGAAAAGAAGAGAATTAGCCTGAAAAAAACTGCTTCTGGTCTGGAAGAGGTTACTGTGATTATTTGTACTATGACAATTGCTTGAGGAATGTATTAGATATGGAAAAATATTCATCTCTGCATTCATTGACTTTGTAATGGCATTTGATAGTGTCCATTGGCCAATGCCATGGAGAGTCTTCACTTCAGGTCTGCCTGCTAAAATGATGTGCCGCCTCCAGCAGGTATAAGAAGGCTCCACAAAGTTCTGTTCATGTTAATGGCAAAATGTCGAAAAGGCTTTCCTATGTGTATTGGTGTGAGACAAGGCTGTTGCATCTCCATTGCTGTTCAGAATCATGATTGATGCAGTCATGCAAAGTCTTTGCCAGTTGGCATGGTGTTAAATTTGGACAAGATAAATCATCAGAGATTTAATATTTGCTGATGAGAATTTGATTTTTGCAGTGAGAGAAACCTGACTTGTTTTGTTTTGGTACCTTTGAGTCTGTCTTGACTCCTGGCTACTACATGGATGAGCGCATAGAGTTTTCTTGGTAACACAGTTTGGAAGTGGTTTGCCCTGCCTTCTTCCTAGGGCTGAGAGTGATTGGCTCAAAGTCAACAGCTGGTTTTGTACCTAAGGCAGGACTAGAATTCATGGTTTCTAGCCCAGTGCATTTAACCACTACATAAAACTGCTGCTGCTTAACCACGTGGCTTAATCATCAGTTCTGACAAGACCATGGTATTCACAACTAGCGGCTCTTGGGCAACTGCCCATTTTGATGGAGCTCAGCTTGAGCAAATTCAGCGATTTAAATATCCTGCCTGAGTTATCCAAGAACAGAAAATAGTTGCCACAATTGATATCAACCAACAGATCAGTCAGACTGCTTCAGCCTTCAGAGCATTAATATAGTGCCCTGATGAAAAAGCCAAAATGCAATTAATTTATCATTAATAGTGACAATGCTGCTTGTATGGTGCAGAATCTTGCTTCAAAATGATTTGAAAAAAATTGAAGTTTTCCAAATGCGCTGCCTACCATGTGTTATTGGACATTAAGGATTTCAGTCTATGACAAAAGACCAAATGAAACAGGTGCTGCAACCAACCCATGGTAGCTGATGAAATTCTGGAGCATTGAATGCAGTTGTTTGGGCACATCTGCTGCATAGCTTAATGCCCACTTCCTTATTGGTTACTCTGGAAATCATGCCCTGCAGGTTAGAAAAATACACGATCAGCTCTAAAAAAAACCTTGACGGGCATATGGAAGAAGACTGAACAAAACTTAGATTCAACCCAATAAAAGTGAAATAAACAAATATGGAGGAATATGCTGTGATGCCAGTGGACCCAGAGCACCTACAGCTACATACTGGTTACCCTGTGGGTTATCAGATGTGAGTTTAGGACTTGAAGTGAGCAAGCAAGATGAGTAGTATTAAACATTTAAGTGAACATTCTGACAAAATGAAAGCTTCCAAAGTATTTTTTTAAAAAAACTAATAGTTGGTCAGATTGAAGATCCACTTGGTTCAAATGTCCTGTTTTCTATTCGGGACATCGAGAAAGGCTGTGAGCTTGAAGACAGCACTTCTCACTCACTGGTGCTGCTGTGCAATTCTTGTTCAAATAACTATAAAAGTTCCATTTATGGACTGACTTGTGTGTTTATTCTCCTTTTAAAGCCATCTAATTTAGCGACCATATATATTCTGGCAGTAAATTCTCCCAGTTTATACATCGAGCCTCCATCCTGGTCTATTTCTTTGAATGATTCCCAGTTTAAGTTTTATGAGATAAGAAAAATACTAGTCATTATAAAGGAAGGAAAAAACAAACAAACCCCCCAAAGTTTCTTTTCTTTGTAAGGAGGATTACCCAGTCTTAGTCATTTAGGTCAGGTTTTTATGTTTTTGCAGCTGTACATTTTTTAAAAAGATGAAGTAGAATGCATAAATTTCAAGTGCAGCAGTGCCATACTGATAGGGCACTGACAGGAATGCTTAGTTCCTATATTAATGATCTCTGGTATTACATCACCTTTTTTTAAGAACAACAAATGCATTTTCTGAAAAGTGTCTTCTGGTCTTTTATCATTTTCTTGATTCTGCTTGTTAGCCATGCTGGCACCCTTTTCATCTGGCTAGTGCCTCTACTAAGCTGTGGTGTTCTTTCTATCCAAGTGCTCCCTACTGGAAGATTATTGAAAAACAGTAATCTCAAAGAGATTTAATATTCTTGCTTCTCCTACTACAATTTCCTCTTAACAAATCTCTTTGAAACCTAATACAATCTATTTTTTGACATTTTTTTAAACTTATGTACACATGGAATTTGAGAATACTTTTCTTAACTGATTGAACACTTTGGATTTCACTGAGGACTAAGTCTAGTGCCATCTCCTTTCGGTACAGTTCCACCATCACATTAAGTCTATGTGAGGTAACTCTGTAATTTTTTTCTATATTAGAGCATATTAATAATTCCAGCAGCCTAGCTCATTTGTGAGTATGGGATACTTACACTTCCTCTGGCCACTAGGTGAACAGGGAATCCAAGAAAAGGTAATACATTTATAAAGCCTGTCTCTGAATACAAATGAGTATTAACCAGTATTAAGTTTTAATTGTGGATTAGCCTTAAAATACTTGCTTTGTGGTCTATAAATATGACATAAAGTGAAGTATTCACTCTTCTTTGCAATAAATACCTTGATAGAAGGGGGACAACTTTTTCCATGACAAAGTAAAGGACTGTGAAGATTAGATTCTTCTCCACAGATCAGCTACCTGATGTGTTGATTTCCTGAAAAACGGAACTGTACATTTTAAAGGTGACTACTATATTTAAAAATATAACCAACAAAACAGAAATATATGGCATATGTGGAAATGTGGCAAGTGATAAAGTCTAGTTTGCCAAGAAACATGACAGGTATGGCTGCAAGAAGCTGATCAGCAAATGCAGAAAATCTTTAATGGGAATTATGCTAGAGACAATTGGACCAAGAGGGAAAAAATGAGCTGTGGTTTAAAAAACTAACTTTATTATATATTGTTGTTACAAAAAGTTAAAAAATAGCACTGAGCACCCAGGAGTACTATTTTTTCATTACTTTTGGAACTCTTTGAATACTTAAGGCAGATTTCTCAAGGTAGAAAGGCTTAACATGATCCAAATTCAAAAATCCATTTCTCATATTTCTCAATGTCCGCAGCAGAGACTGATTTTGAAACTTTTTTTAAAGCCATTTCAAAATCTTCCATAGTTGTTGGCATGTGCATTTCATCTCTGGAAAGATTTCTGATTTCTTCTGGCGTCAAGCCTTCAATACGCCTTCTCATAGCCATCAGTGAAGCATCTCTGTTAATAAAAAAGTGTGCCTTTAATGAGAATGCAGAAATGCCAAACAACTAACACTAAATAACTATAGCCAAACCTTGGAATGCTTATTTATTTATTATCTCTACTGAAATGTCACCCAACCCCAATGGACTATGGGTGGCTTACAGCATAAAAACACAACAAATTCACAATCCAGATAAACTTAGCAATAAACAGATGGCAGATCCAGTCAACACAACACATCACATACATGACAAGGGGCACTAACCACCCTAGCCCAAAGCCTGGGAGAAAAGTACAGGTCCTTAAGGCCCTCTGGAATGCCATTAAGGTGGGAACCACCCAGATCTCAGGGAGAACCTCATTCCAGATGGCAGGTGCCATGACAGCTTAAAAGTCAAATTGGTTGAACTGTGAGCAGTTGCTCTGGCTTTCAGTAATGCCATCAGAAATACGCTGAAAAACTTCGTATGCAATAATGAGAAGACTCAGCTCTTTATGCAAAATAAGTTTTTTAATGGCAAACTCAAAGCATAGCTCCAGCTTTTCAGTTTTTTCTCTGATTATGTAGAGATGTGCAGCTATCTGAATCCAAAGCAGAAAAGGTACACTGTAGGAAGTATGGGTGCTCCCTCACAACTCCTGAACTCAAATGCATATTTTCCTGGGGACTGCATGCCTGCTATGTGAGCCTAGGAAAAGTTGCTGGTTCTCTAAGGAGGCACCAACAGGTGCAACAAGCATACCTGTGCCCCCTCTGCACCCCCCTCTGCAGGAGATAGTGCTCCAAGCAACATATAGAAGGTTGAGGGAACATGAAATGGAAAGCTTGAATATGCAACAAAAGTAACAGGCCACGTTGTCAATTGTCAGAGAAGCTGATTTGGATTTTTTGATCCCTATTCCTCTGTACAGGCTTGATAAGAGTCACAGAGCGAAAAGAGCTGAAATGTGGTAGAAGTGTGGGGGTGTAGAACCAATTACCCTCCAAATGTTTTTTCTACAACCCCAGCATTCTTCACCACTGAAT